GTTAAGTCGAGTTCGATGTTCTTTATTTGCCAAGATGATTGTAGAGTTATTCGATGATCTCTGAGAGAACAATGGCACATTATCTTCGAGATGATCGAGCTATTGCAATTTGGATTCTTTCTTTGAACTGTTGTTGATCCGTTCTTGATTTCGTTCGGATCAAAAGTGTCACAATGGATAGAATAACGAAATATCGTTTCAATGATGGTCACGATGCACAGAATTCTTCACTCTTTGTCGAGGATGGAAGCAAGCAGCCATTATTACTTGCCGCGTCATCGGCCAACCATTCGCGCGCCTCTAAATGGATCTAAGAACCAATACTCCTATTAGCGGTCGATTGAACCGGTGCTCGAACGCGGAAACGCGAGAGGAGGAAAGAAAGAAAAGGGAACACGCGCAAGGTTTACACAGTGTTCACACACACACACGTACACGCGGTGACTTGCGTCAGTGGGCCGCTATAAAAGTGATTAATGGACACGAGTCGTTTACCATTCTGATACTCTCTTCCCGCATTCGGAACAACAAAGTGCTTCTTTGCTCTCTCTCTTCCCCTTGTGCTTTCCATTTCGTGTATATAGTATCTTCCCCCTTCCCCTCTCCTTTGTGAAGTTCCTTCAATGGGACATTTTTGATATCATTGGAATCTTCGAATTTTATGTAATTTAAGTTGGGTTAAGGGTTAAAAGAAATTATTTTTCAAATATTATTCGGTAAATTGGATTTTCGACACAAAAGTAAAGTATATAATAAGTAAAGAAAGTTCAATATAGATCAATCTTATCCTTCTTTATTTTTTCCGTTCTCTACGATTTAAATACACGTATGTATAACGAATCGAACATCCCCCTTCCCCTCTCCTTTGTGAAGTTCCTTCAATGGAACATTTTTGATATCATTGGAATCTTCGAATTTTATGTAATTTTGGGTTAAAGGTTAAGAGAAATTATTTTTCAAATATTATTCGATAAATTGGATTTTCGACACAAAAGTAAAGTATATAATAAGTAAAGAAAGTTCAATACAGATCAATCTTATCCTTCTTTATTTTTTCCGTTCTCTACGATTTAAATACACGTATGTATAGCAAATCGAACATCCCCCTTTCGGTGACGAAACGGCGTATCCATGTGGGAGTATTCTCTCTCGTGAAGGGACAGCGCAAACATTCTCGATTTACACGTTAGCCATTCCATTTGGCTCGAATCGGTTGGAAGCCATTAATATCGGACAGCGTGAAAGCCACTCAGGCTCTTGGCTCAGTGGCAAGACAGCCAACCCTTTGCTACCGATTCCCTAAACTGGGTAAACGTCTCCACCCCTTCCTCCCTCTTTTTTTTCGCCGTACATGCCTTTCTTCCTTTATCATTATTATTTTCTCTTTTTGTTTCTTCTTTCGTTTCCTTACATTTCCTTTCATTCTCTCTCGCTATTACATTACCCACCTCCTCTTCCCTTTTTTACCCTCATCGTCTCTTTCACTCTTCAACCTCATCTTCCTTCTCTTCTTCCTCATCATCCCCTTCTCATTCTCCCATTCTCTTTCGCTCTCCATCTCCTTTCCCCAATTCACCCTTTCCCCCGAAACCGCCCCTCGAAATCAATAAATACATATTTGTTCGACACACATCGCATCAACTATCAATGACACTAATACCATTAGCCGAGAGAAAGAGAGAGACAGAGAGAGAGAGAGAGACCTGACGCAGCACGCCACCGTGTGTACCAGTCGACGTGTGTTCGCCGACGAAAGACGAAGACAGACACTCGGCTGTATTAAACGGATGAAAGGGAGACAGGGACACGGGGATGAGAGAAAGCCCCTTCTCCCCCTTTCTCCCCTGTTAGAGCGATTCCTCCCGCGTTCCCGTGATTTCCGCAGAGTCACGTTACAAATGACTGCGGCCGCCTTCCATCCTCGTTATCGAAGTGACATAATCGTCGGTTCGTAACGCGTCGGTCCTACGTATCCACGGCCTGGGCACGCAGAAAGCCGAGGCGCCACGCGCGTCGCAAGACCGGCGTCACGCAATGACGTACCACCGTTTAATAATCCTGTATATCGTCGTCTCTGTCTATCAGGATGCACGTTGTCGTCCGTTCATTAACCGGGAGATTACTGGCCTGTCCTGGTCAAAAGATACCCGACTACTTGCATCCAGATGGATCCGCGGCGTGTGCAATGTGCTATGGTGCCGGTCAAATGCTCGATTCCCCTGATGCGCGTGATTTTGATGTTGTAACGACGCAAAGCTCTACCGTTTAGTGCTCGAATTATCTTTTGAAAAATTTTGTTGTTAAGTAAGAAAATAATTGTTTAAAAATCTTTATTTATACGAATGAAGTGTTCATCAATGATTGATTGATTAATATCATTTGAAATTTGGAAACATTTTTTGAGGGTGTTTTAAACGAGAGGCATACTCTTGAATGATTTTTAAGAAAAATTATATTTATTTGAAATACATGCTCATTGATTACGTCGATTATTAAGTTTGGAATATCGTATGTTGTAAAAATAAGTGGAGGAATTCAAAATGAAATATCTACTCTTTTTCTTTTCGCTACTTGCTCGTCTGTTTTTCGCAATTTTCCGAGCTTAAAATGAATTTAATAAATTCTGTAATCCTTCGTAAAAGAAAAAAAAAGAAAAAGATATTCCAATTACTCTAATTGACTTTGACCAAGATTAATTAATCCAATACATACTACGATCTCTCCTTTAATTCAAGCACACTTTAACTATATCATTTCTCTCTTCGTAATCATAAACTCGAGTGCGATCGTTAAACACAAACGCTATACAATACAGAATACAAGTACCCGATAATAAAATCGGCTGTCACAAGTTTAATTTATCGGTTTAACATATCTGGAAACGCGATGCAGCCTCGTTGGAAATCGTAACGGTTCACCAGGTAGCCGCGATCCGGATCGGTGTTAATAGAAAACGTGCGGCTGGAATCGGGCGCAGGTGCGAAAAATCGGAGAGTTAAGAGAAGGACAGGGAATAGGAGGGAGGAGCATATCGATATCTTATCTCGGATAGCACGAGTTAATTTCTCTCGATTAATCGAGCGAGATTATTGGCGTGTATCGTGATCGTCTCGATTGAAATTCGAAGAAACGAAATCTCTCGATCATTCGTTCGGCCTCGTTTGAAACGCGCCCCGTAATTGCCGAGCGGCAATTAAAGGGAGAAAAGCGGAGGAGACGCTGGAGGAAAAATATGAGGCAAGGCTGAGCGTACACAAGACTGCATAACGTAACAGAGCCGCTTTCGTTTTGCCACCGGTAATCCTGGAGGGGAATACCACCGACCCCCGATAGGCTTTGATCATAATTTATGGTTATATAAGAATGCGAAAGGGAGTTCCCCGCCACTGTTTACTGTCCTATACAGGATTACACGTGATACCCGACCATTAATTTCGCCGGCCATCACCTGTCCCTTTTTCCCCTCTCCTTTCGATTCCTCCGCCTCGTTCGAGGCCGATCCTCGATTTCCCTGGGATCTAACCTAATATCCTCCGAGATTGCACGAATTTTATGAAATTTTATTATACACGCCCTAAGGAGGCGCGTAAACGAGGCGGAATTTGGAAAAGTTGTTTATTAAAGAAAGACAATTTGCCGAGATTATTTTTGGGACAAAAGTTGAAATCGAATCGCAAAAATTTCTCACAATATTCATAACCATACGACGTTTACTACTGCATCGAATTTTCACGTTCGAAAAGGCAAGGATCGTTACCTCGAACTTACCTTACTTACCCAACTCGAAATCCTCGAAATGCGGGGATCGAATCAAGCGAACACGGATATAAATCATTCCGATATCCCTCGTTGCACATGTTCCTCCAATTTACGTTTCCCTTTGCCCGGCGTCTTAAAATGCTAATTTCAAATTCGGCAATAAAAAGGGCCGGTGATCCCGGTTGATCAACAGAAAACGAAAAAAATATATATATATATATATATCGAACCGCGTGCCACGAGGAACACCTGCTGCTCCCGATCGGTAAAGAGTTGGAGTAAATTATCACTGCGGCAGTTTTCGCGAAGGACGATGGTTCACGGGGTAAAGCTTGTGGATAGGGTGTTCCACACGCGGTCGAAGGGCGGTGTGTCGCGCGTGTACACACACACACACACACACACACTTGTACACGCATACAGCGAGACTAGGATCACGCCATCTGCGCCAATCGCGGTTACTCCGTTACGTTAAAGCCCCTCAGCCAGTTTCCAGTTGGCAGTTCCAGTACGGTCGTTTCCAAAGGGTTTCAGAGTCGTAGATTCACTCGGCCCGGCCAGCCCGCCATTACTCATTCCAGGGACGCGAATACACGCCACCCTAGACCGCGCAAACAATTTGTTTCGAGGGAAGAGGAGGGGAGGGAGGGAGGAGGGAAAGGGGAGGAGGAGGAGGAGGAGGATGCATCTCTCCGCCGTGTTCAAGTCGCGCGAAAGCGGCGACGAATCGCCGTGGAATTCGGTTGCAAGAGTTCTGTTCCTGGAATTTTGGAGGAGAGTCCTCCTCGTTCCGGATAAGGGTGAGAAACGGGATAATTGCCCCACGAGACTTTCGGTGTTCGCATTAAGTGAACTGCGGAGGGGAAAAAAATGGGGGGATTTTGTTATTTCTCGTGGAATTTTCCCGTGATAAAATTGGATATGGAAAGATGATGTTCTCTTTCGTTCAGGCCAGAGGATATCTTGTGCGAGGAGGAATCGAATGGAAATGAATCTTTGTTATTTTATAATTTAATTAATCAATAATTTTATTAAAAATCGTATTTTTTGTTTTGTTTTTTTTTGATATAAGAATTTTTGATATAATTTTTCATATAAGAAAAAAGAAATAAGAAGTAGTGCGTTTAATAATTTATTCAATAATATATTATTATTGAAAATAAAAATTTACAATGTAAAAATATAAGATACGATTTTATAATTTATAACGATATTATAATGTTCGATGTTATATTACGATGGAATTATATTATTGTTATGTGTTATGTATTGTATTCTCCGTGGAGCGAAGATTTGTATTGCTGACTCACCTCTGTAACGTAGCGATTGTTGTGTTTACATATAAGACGCGCAAAATCCGAGCTCGAGTTCATTCGTAGTTTCGACGTCGTATCGAGTGGATTCAATACGGACTGGAGACGATGGACGATAATTATCGGCATTTTTCATGAAAAATGGAATATTGAAGGTAAATATTTTATACAAATCGAATAAGATTTCGAATAATATTGTTACGATAAATCGATTATTAGTCTACGTCGTATAATTCGATAGTTATACGGAATAAAATTTAGAAAAACAATATTCCAATAATTTATTATTATTTTAATCGTTAATGGAATTGTATTATTGTTAAGAATATGAATAATTCGCATCGTTACCAAGTATATTAAGGAAAATTTTCGCAATATCGAAACATTTCGATGATTTATTTATTATAATATAATTAACATCGAATATTATTATTACCGTTGAATTATTCATGTTCTTCTTTGAATATTTTTCAACGTTAAACAATGTAATTAGCACAAGACTTTGTATTCAGAGATCTTTATTTCTTATTCGCATTAATTTTAATTCACAAGATCGATCCGATCAAAGATTCGAAGAAAATTTAGAATTCTTTTTTTCAAAATTTTTACTTTTCACCATTTCGAACACATAAATAATCCAAGTAGTGGAATCCAATCCCGGAAGGGCAATGTGTCGAACGACACAAACATCCTCCGTGTCATGCAGCGACATTCCTCCGGCAGTTTATCTCCCTTCCGCCCGATAGCCAAGGCGCTTCCGTTATCACCGGCCGCGTTGTTGGCAGCATAAATTGATACAGATGCGAGTTAGCCCGAGTTTTTCGCCCCTGCTGCTATTCTACGGGAATGGCTGATGGCGGCTTGGATTTCGTTCCAGAACGAAAATCATTCGAGAAGAGGGAAGATTTCGAAAGGAAATCAAAAAGGAAATCGTGTTTGGAACGATATCTCTTCGCGAGCAAAGCGAGCGAGGATCGTTGACCTCGATAATGGTAAACCCATTATGGTAAACTAATTGGATCTAGTGCGTCGATTTCGAGCAAAATAGCCGGAAAAGAAGAAGAAGTGGCTTTCACAAATTATCGTTTCCCCTCGACTAATAAGAATTTAAGGGTCGAGATGTTGATTATCGATTAATTTATTCGACACTTTCGATAAGAACGATTACCAAGAAATTATTCGTCGAAATTTATTATTCCAATAATAATACGGAAAAATTTTAAACGTGTCAAAGTTTCGAAGATCGGAACAAAACGATACACTTTGGACGGATGAAAAGTTTTGTCGTTTCACGAACAATCGGCATCAAAACTCAGTACAAGAAGAACGAACAGAAAAGGAAACGAGTGTCAAAGTTTCGAGTTGCAAGTGGTCCCTTTCCTCTCCCTTCCCCTCCCCCTCCTCCTCTCATAATTAGGATCAGAATCTCGGTATCTCGGCCTCCGGTTGGATCCTCCGTGTTGCGTCCCTTGTGTTTTCGAGTGTAGGCGTAGCGTTGTGGAGTGTCCCCGTGTAAACAGACAACAAATAGTCCAGGAAGGCCGGATAAGCCGCTAACATCGTGCGGTCTATGTTCAATGCGGTAATTAACGGCGCGATGTCACATAGGGCCTTTAATCTCCCGGTAACGATTCCCGTGGCCGCGAAGTTCCTTGAAAATTAGCATAATAATATATCGTCGTCTATCTCGGCCAATTAAACGGCCATAAAGCCGGCCGAGCTTTGGCGACGGTCCGGGGCTGCCACGACGTCGTACCAGGCTAACTCAGGGACTCAGCTATTAATGAATGGTGGTTCCTCGTCGAGGGTGACGGGGAACTATAAACTTGTCCCCTTGGCCGACTAGACGATCCTTTGATTTCTCTTTTCCTTCCGACCACGATCCTCGATCCTCTCCATAACGCCGCGCACGTTATGCTCCTTCAACTCGTACAGATTGTTCAATTTAAGCAAGAAGAGAATGCGTTTTGTTAAATTTCTTTTTAAATATCTCCTGTATTTGTTTATTTTTTTATTTTTTTATTTGATTGAATCTTAGAATAGAAAGAAAAATTTTTGAATTTTTAAGTCTTTTTCTTTTTCTTTTTTTTTAAATACAGTTTGCGTTGGTGATATATTTGTAGTTCTATAGTTCAAACTATAGAAATTTACAGCATAAAAAATAATTCGAAGCATAAAAATTATTGTAGAATAAAAAAAGAAAAAAAGATTTGAATAATTAATCTGAGATTAATTACGAAATAATGGTACTTTTTAAACCTAGCTATTATCGTTGAAAGATACAATTGAAGACAAATTTTCAATAAATACGCGAGTTTTATTTACAGATTTACACGAGATGACGAGGTTTCTCGATTTGAGATCCATCAAAGTAGGCGATAACTGTCTTGCTGCCCATGGGACATTGCGGTTTTCTCGCTTGCCGTCGCAGAATCGTCGGAACATTCAGACCACGGGCATCGTTAAACGATCGTTAACAAGGCCTCCTCGAAGCTCCAACGTGGGACGGATGGAACGATTTGTCAAGATCTGTGTGACGCGGGTTTCTCACACCAGTCTCTCCGTCGAATAGCGAAAAATAACATAATTCCGTTTAAACTCGAATTTCTATTGCAATATCTTTACCTTAATTTTAAGAAAATTAGAAATCACTTTATTTACTTCTATTAACGAAAAAAGAAAAAAAAATTCACGAATTCAAAAAAAAGAATCATTTAAAATTCACGCAATTCCAAGAGCGATTCTCAAATATATATTTCCTTCCATTCTCCTCCTTGCACGCTCTTTTCTTACCAATCCAAAAATTAAAAAAAAGAAAAAAAAAAGAAAAAAGATCCAATCTTCCAACAACCCTATCCCTACCATGAGAAATCGCAATTGCAAGCGGCCACCCTAGATATACTTCACGGTCGATTAGCCGGAAGCAACGCCAATCTTCCTCGTCGATTTTCAACTCTCGCGCTCGGGGAAGGGGGTAGGGGGAGAGCAAAAGTTCATTTGCGCTTAATGCCGCGCGATTAATTGCCCCTCGGCCACTCGGCGAGAGGTTGTAAGGCCATTTACGGCGGTGGCTCGGGCCCGTGTTTACCCCGTGCTGCCTACAAATTCGTTCGCACTCGAA